GTTATATATTTTTCTTCATTGATAAACATGAATTCAAAATAATATATTTTTCGAAACATGTGCTACTTCAAAAGCATGTTGTATTTTATTGTTGCTCCTTCAGAAGCAATATGTCAATATTCTTCTAGAATATTGAAAATTATAATTCAAGCTCTTCGGGTGTAATCAAATATAATTATAATAAATTATACAATAAGTTTCTCTTCGAGAGTAAAAATATAATTTACTTTAGATTATATGTAATTATACTTTTTGAGAGCAAGTAAGACTAATTAGAATATTAATGAAAATTATAATATGCTATTTTGATATCACATTATATTTTACTATTACTTCTTCAAGAATAATAGATCAATATTCTTCTAAAATATGAAAAATTTTAATGTCATGCTCTTCAAGAGCAATAACATATTATTGTTACAGTAATAATTATGTAAATATTTACTCTTCAAGAGTAAAAACGTAATTTTATGTTGGATCTTATATCATTATAGTTTTCAAGAGTAATAAATTCTGACCAGAACATCAATATCTAAATACGTTTGTAAAAGAATGGACATGTAAATAAATAGAGTAATTTAATTCGTGATTTTACATATTATTGATCAATATTCTTCATGAATATTGAAATTATAATATTATATTCTTTTAGAACAATTAATATTTCTTTTTAAAATATTAATATCATTGTACTTCTGCAGGAACACCAACACGATTTTTTTATTAAGTTGTGCTTTCTATAGAAACACAACGAAACATATAATCTTCAAGAATATAAATATAATATTCTTTTGAAATATTGACATTAACGATTCATTCTATCTTTTGAGTTAAACAATATAATATTAAAATTTGTGCTCTACATGGTAACAATGAAAATATTATTCTCTAATATTTATATAACGTGTGTTGTGTTTTTTCGAGAACAAATATAATTTAAATTATGCTTTTTTAGGAGCACTGAGTCATTATTCTTCTGAAATATTAAAATTATAATATCATGTTCTTCATATGCCAGTAATATTCTTCTAGAATATTAATAATGTTGTACTACTTCAGGAGCAACAACGAATTATTTATAATAGATAAATATATAATTAATATTCTTTTGGAATATTAATTATAATGTTGTGCTATTTTTTTAGCAACAACATGATAAATTATTAATTTGAAACTTATAGAATAATATTTAAAAATATTTAATTATCATATAGACATGATATGAATTTATATAGAAAAATTAATTACCAAACATGCATTAAGAAAAAAAATCTTCATACATAGATGTAAACAAATTTGACTAAATGTTTTCCAATATGCAAAGGATACTAAATATGCATATGAATTTCACATATACAAAAATCGAGGGTAGAACTAATATGTGGCTGATTCAAAAGATAGAATTAATATGTGACAAAATTGATTGTGTATGAATCAAAAAATATGAATTAAATATGTGTATAAATTACACATACAAACGTGAATTAAAATTAATATATATACCAACGAAAAGTATATTAGAATAAGTAACCTAGTTATGATGTATATGTACATCGAAAGAATGCACATGCCACTAAATTTATTTTAGTATATGTGATACATATTTATACTTATAAAAAAGATCATCACAATTACTAAACTTTGAAAAATTAAGTTATCGTGCCGATATCATGTTATAAAAATGAGAGAAAAGAGAAGAAAATAGAGAGAAATCAACAGAATTGTGTGTATTTTATTAAGTATTTGAGCCCTATATTTATAGGTAAGAATTAAGGATACAATGATAATAATTTTTAGGGTTACAAGGGAACAAACCCTAATAAACTTATCATTTACAACAGCCATAAACCATATATATATTTTAAGTTTTATGCGTATGTAGTAAGCTTTGTATTTGGAACTATGTTTTTGTCAATTTATTGTCACAAGTGGTTAAAATATTTTGTATATAACATTTAAAGGGTCGAGTCGAATAACTATCTTTATAGTCTCTTTAGAATTAACCTTTGTTTGGCTCCCATTTTTTTCAAATTTTAATGCTTAGAATAATATTTTTTTTTTTAAGAATATGTGGTTGAAAAAGAATGAAAAATTTTCGATTTACGTGTAATATTATTTTATGAAAAATTGTGTGATTGAAAATAAAATAGAAAAAAAAATGAAAGAGAATGAGGGTCAAACGGGGGCTTAATCTCCTGTTCCTAGTGTATAAGATAAAAACCTTTCATCGTTGATGTGGTAAGGGAATTTTAGTAATGATTCTCTGAATTTATGACTGTTTTAGAAAATCATAACTAAAATTCTTTTACAACGCCAGCGTCGATATTGACTTCAAGGAGACATCATAGATGAAACGAAAGAAGTGAGGTTTCTATTTAATAAAAGGTAGCGTAGCGATTCAAAATGTTGATTGGGGGAGAGATCTATAGTATCAAAGGGACCAATCCGAAGCACAGAAAGAGCTAGCAAAGTAAGGAAGAAGGGACCCAACTTCCTTACGAAGTAAGAGCGGAAGCCACTGAAGGACCCACATGGGTTCATGTGGGGTCAGTTGACACCATAAAAATTTCTGGTTTTTTTTTTTTTTTTTGGTTACACTAAAGATTAAATATAACTTTGTCCAATTGTTTATTGTCAAGACCAATTGCACAAGCCCATTAATTGGTATTTCACCTATTCAACTCTATCTCCAAGTCCATTCTCTCCACTCCTTCATGTTTTGGGATTTTCTTTCTTATGCTAACTTTGTAATCTTTCTTCTGTTTAGTTAACAAATCGATACCCTACTTGTTTGATTTTACATATTTTTATTCTAAAATTCATTTGAATAATTGAATTTGAGATTTGAGAAATATTTTCAACTACAATCCTCAAATCCCCATCGCTTATTAGTTATTATCTAGTCTACAGAAAAAAAACATAAACATCTAAACAAGTCGGTACTGTCATATTATGGAAATTATCAATATAGCATTTGGATAATTTTTTTTGTGATTATTTGATGTCTTTTGGAGAATTATGCATTTATCCTTATCCGATTAAATTATGGGGTTTGGATCTAATTGTTGCAATTATAAATAAAAAATTAAAAAGACAACTATAAAATTTTGTATGAATCTGGAAAGCATGATTTTGGTCTGTGTTATTATTAAAAAAAATGGTTGATGTCATCTTGTTTCTTCTTACTATTTATTCAACTAAAATAACAGATTCTCTCATTTAGATGCTGTGCTCATATTTTGTTAATATTGAATTTGATTTTGTGACATTCATGGAGAAATATTTTAAATAAAAATCCTTATTTTCGAGTGCAGAGTAAAATGTAGTTGAAATGAGCGTTCAAAATAACATATTATGATATGTTGTTCTAAAAGAAATTGTATTTTAATTTTGACCTCACAACGTCAAAAGTTTGGTCCGTCCCTGATGAAAGCTATGACATTTGATTGATTAAAGTTTTGGGTGCCCATTGGGGGGAAGGAGATTAGGATTGAAAGTATCTCATAAAGTAACTTTGAAATCTTTTTTTTTTTTTTTTTTTTTT